ATGGTCTCCGAGGCGACCGGGGATGGCAGCCCTCTGTGCAGCATCTCCTCATGCCGGCTGGGGACCCAGCCTTTCTGGAGGGGCTGAAACGTGAAGTCACTTGAGGGGGGGCAGCTCTGGTGCCGCGGGCTTTGCCTCAGGGTCTTCCTGCAGTTTGTGACTCCCAGGTCACCCTGAGCCGTTTTGTGTGGCTCTGCCAGTTGTCACCCTCTGGAGAAGCTCCCCTGGGGAGCTCAGCCCCAGGCGTGCTGCCTGCGTTGGGGTGCTTGGAGACAGTTTCCAGCCCTTCCCTGCTGCACAGGAGCGATGCAGCTCTCCGATGGCAGCGGGTACCCAGTGTACCTCCTCGCAGGGAGTTTTTGTGTGCAGGCATCCCCTTTCTGCCTCCCCCAGCCTGCTCGCCCATGGCAGAGGCATTTGCTGGTGACACCGGTGGCGTGGTGCTGTGTACATGACTAATTGCACATGCGTTCAGAAGGTAACGAGGCTGTTATTAAGACCAGGTGCAGGCTGGTGAATCCACCGTGTTGCCTAGGCGAGGCTGAAAGGCAAACATTTTTGCTTTGCAAAATAATTCTGGAGATGACTGTACGTGTTGACAGGAGGGAGGAAAGCGGCCGGTGTGGGTTTCGACGGTGCGGGGAGCTGCGCCGGGCATCCGTCACGGCGCATCCCGGCTTCTGCTGGCATCTCCGGCTCTGTGTGTGCTGTGTTTCAGCTTTCCCGCTGCACTGGGCAGCCAGTTGCTGTGTCCTCCTGCTCCTCTCCTTCGCTTCAACGTTTTGACAACCCGTTCTCGCCCACACTGCTCTCCCCCTGCGCCTCTGCTGCCTCTAAGCTCAGATACGTGTTTTACGGGAACCCAAAATTTCCCCGCTTGATGGTCCTCCCTCTCATTTTCCCCCTCCAGAAAGGGATTTTGCTTCTACGATGTCGGTAGGCTGCAGCGGGGCAGCCCGAGTGGGTAAACTGAGTCAGGGGTGACTTCTATGGGGTATTACAGAAATCACGGCTCTCCCCAAAGAAGGGGAGGGACATGTCTGCAGGAGACTTTGCGTGGTGTCACTGGTCGATACGGGTACTTCTGGGGCTGTTTCAAATATGCCTGGTATGCCCTGTGAAAATAAATTTGATTTCTTTCAGGAGAGGAAATCACTGAAGTTTGACAGCACTATTAATATTTTTTAAAAAGCCCCCAAAATGTTTTGCTTAAAGCACAGTGGCACGGCTTAATTTTTTTCCTCTCTTTTTTTCCTATTTATGCTTAAAACGGGGCCTTAGAGTGGCCCGAGCCACTGCTTCTCATGGGGCTTCTCTTCTGCAGAGGGAAGGGGGACCTCTCAGGGCAGAAGTTAGTCTGCAAAACAGAGAACTCCTTCCCCTCCTCCTCCTTCAGATAAGAGAGGAAGATCCCTGGGCTTCCAGCCGGCCCTTCTGTGCCTGCTTTGGGGATCTGCTGTAGAGATCGGGGGGGCCAAGGGGTGAGGAGGAGGAGGAGGAGAACATCTGCGTGCATTGCTCTGCAGCTCCCAGATGTTCATCTCAGCTATTCTGGGTGGCCCTGGGCTTCTGCGTGCCCCCCAGCCAGCAAACCCCCCCTGCTGTGGGACGTTGTGGGCATGGAGGAGCTTGGAGGCGACCAGGTCATGGAGGAAAAAGCACTTGAAGGTTATGAAGTGCCAAGGTGCGTCTGGCTCAGGAGGTGCTGGAAGCTAGAGCCCGGAAAGGATTTTGGGACAGTGTCCCTCCACCCTGGTCCTGCTCTTGTGACACCTCTTCAGGTACCTGCTGCTGTGACTGATGGCAGATGGGACTGTGGGGCAATCGGACCATCGTGCTTGTCCGTGAGCCCTCTCATTGGTAGCCTGGCCGTGTTTCAGC